TGGAGATTGTATGATACTTATTCTTATTGTGCCTGGGGGGAGGGAGGGCGGGAGCGGTGGTGGTAGTGAAGAAAAGCAACTAGGACTGAAACAGGATTGTTCTAGCACAGTGAGACAAGACTTAGCCCAGTGCTTCAGTAAAACAGCTGGAACAAAAAGACCTGAAAATCAAAACTGAAGAAAAGCAACAGTCAGTCTCCGTGCTTGCAAGTTCAAAAGCCTGGCTCATATGACTATAGGAAAGTTCATAAGGACAGAAAGAGTTTGCAAAGATGGGGCCGAGTCTGCTGGGCAACAAACAGTCCTAAACCCACACAGCTTGGATGGTTCCTAAGGCGGCAAGGCCCGATACTCACAACAGGATCAAGATGAGTAGCAGAGCCGGAAGGGTGATGCGGAAACACAGATGTAAAACAGAGAGCAAGACAGTTATAAAAACCAAATCAGCTCTCTCAGAACGTAAGCTTGTAAGACAGATGTAAACCAGCAACTTCTGGCTACTTGTTGTCCATATTCCATCCGTGAGCTATTCCTCACCTGTCTAAAACGGGCCCTTACGCCATTTCCTACCATTGACAAATACACCATATGCTGAGAAACAGTGGAGAAATGGCTTGACTGAAGACTGTACCTTGATACATGGCTGTTTTTCAGGGATGAGGTTGGGGATACGGTGAAATGCAAGGTGTGAAGCTTGACCCTACCTTTACTTTTAGGTGATGTTTAATAAGTATGAACAATTATTCTTCTAATTTTTTGAATATGTGATATGAAGGAAAAATATGAGCTATGAGTTAATAGATTTTATGGATTTGCCAATTGGATATCAAAGTAATTGAGAAGTCCAGCACAGGGAAAGGTCACCCCAGAAAAATCTCACTTTTCAAAAAGGCACTGGCAAGAAGGAAAGAATGAGATTTTAATCACTGCAGCTAATTACACAGAAGACTAAATCACAAGAAGAGTTATTTAAGTGTCTTAAATACAATAAAAAGTAATTAACAGGAAGCGCCATCTTGACAGCTTCACGTCACAAACCAGGCCTGAAAAGATCAGCTAATTCCCAACCCGGGAGCCAGAGAATGAGAAAGACTCAAGGTTTGATCTTTTTATTTTTTATTTAAACTGTTTTGATTAACAGATAACGGCTCTTGCCAACTCCACAGTGAAGTTAATCAAGAAAAAATTTTAATCTATTAGAGAATGGTGAACCCTGTTTGCATTGATTCCCTAGAGGGTAAGACACAAGGAACTGAATGAAGTCAGGGTGACAACCACAAGGGCCTGGGAGCTGCCTCCCTCACATCCATCAAGGGAAAATCCGAAGGGCTCCGCTGAGCCCTACTGAGAATACAGACAATTCACTCATTTTGCATGTGTGCTACATCTAAAAGTTTCCTTTGAAATAGCCCTTTGCAAGACACCATCTTATTCATCTGTCTCTCTTCTTGTTCCCCTGGAGTCACCAACTTCAAAGGATCTCTTCCATCAGGAGTCTGAACAGGAGAGCCAAGAGGTGTGGGGCAGGCTGTGTAGGCACGGAAGCCTGTAATGCAATCCAGTGTGAACAGAGAGTCATGAGGTTTAGGGTAGGCTGTGTAGGCAGGGAAGCCTGCAGTCCAGTGTGAACACAGAGTCGTGAGGTGTGGGGCAGGCTGTGTAAGTATGGAAGCCTGAAATCATTTGATGGATTTCTTCTACACTGCACACCAGTCTGATGAGTGGGCCTTCCAGAGAAGAAGTACTTGCTACTGACCACCCTTAACTCTTCCCTTAATATCCCATACAACCTGAGACCACAGCAAGTCCATGGCGGGTACTGGTGAGAGACACAGAGGGCCACTATCATAAACCTGGGCACCTCACTGAATTTGTTCAGTCATTTGCTTTGTTTCCAAGTCAGGTTTTTTTTTTCTGGTTTTTGTGCTTGTTATTTTAGTTATGTACTTCTTTAAATATCACATTAAGCAGTGAAATATAATCACACAAGCTTATGAAAACTCACATGTTTAAAAGCTAAACAGACAGGAATGACTTTAAAATGGCTGCAAAACAAGTGAGCCAGACAACTATAACAGGAAAAGCAAAGAAAAACTCAAAAACTATAAGGCTGTGCAATTTGTGTTTTTAAGCCTTCATTTCAGACAATAAGCTGTGCTGTTCAGTAGGATACCACGAAAGTGACCTGTGTGTGTTTCTCATGTACTGGAGATCTGAAAACATGGGCTCAGTGGGCACAGGTGCTGCTCGAGCCTGACAACCTGCTTGATCCCTAGCTATGTAGTAAAAAGAAGAGAACTGCCTCCTTCAAGGTGTCCTCTGGCCTGCACACAGGCACTGTGGAAAATTCATACCCTCCAACCCACATGCCTGTACAGACAAAAATAAGAAAATGTATGCTTAGGTAAAGCCTCTTTTCAACACAGTGCTTTTAAAGAATTAAGCATCAAGCCAAATAACAGGGACTTAATACAAATTATTTCTAAACATGAGTTAAATGTTTGAATTTCCTAATTAATAACTGAATTTTATACCACATTATTTTAGTTGTGAGTTTTTTGTTTGTTGTTTATTTTTAACTAAAGAAAATTCAGGGGTAAAAGGAGACACGTAAAAACAAGCCACTCCAGAGGGAACACAGAAAGCAAATTCTGGAGGTCCATCTGCAAGGGATAATCCTTTATCACCATGCTTACAGAACAAGTAAAGGAGGGGACTCTCAGTTACTGTCCTGATTAGACAGCCGGTGGAGGGATGGGAGAGGGTGACCTAAAAGCCTACCTGGACAAGCCTCGTGACCTGAGTTTATCCTCAGAACCCACAAGAGAAAGAGAATGAACTTCTGAAAGTTGTCCTCCGATGTCTACATGTGCCTGTATGTATACATACATATATGTACACCTACCCGCGCATGCTCGCATGCACACTGTAGCCATGCAGGGAATGAAACACGCAAGTACTACTAAGTATGCTTCCTAAATGGACCTGATTAGCATTACAGTTAACAAATCAGTCAACAAATTTCTTGTACAATCTGTCTGCTGACTACTGGAGCTGTGACAGGAATAGAGGAGACGACACTCGCTAATAATCTAGGGAATGACAGTTTCAACAATCACAGTAACCTTTAATGTCAAGACCATATCCAGTCTCTGCTTTCCAGATTAATCAAGTACAGAATATAAGAAACTCAAAGAATTCAATGATCAAAGAGTAGGTTGATAGAACTTCAAAACAGGCAAATCACTGGAATAGATAATTCTCAAAAGAAGGCATACAAATGACCATATAAGAATATAGTCACCATCAGTAGTGATCGGGAAAACAAAAAAATATAACCCAAGGACAATGAGATTATCATCTCTACCCAATCAGAATGGCCATGACCACAGCAGCAGCGGAGGCCGCAACTGCTGGGAGAAAGGGGACCTCTAGAACTATTCGTGGGCGTGTAAACAGCATAGCCATTATAGAAATACAAGGGCCATATTTCTCTGTCATTCCACCTAGTGAATCCACGTCTGGTGGACTATTAAATGAAAACAGGTTGAAGGAGGGATAAAATAAACTTGAACCTGGAGGTCTGAGTCACAGGGCATAGCCATAACTCTTTCCATGTGGAAATACATTAAAGTTGGCTGTGCCAGATTATCCTAAAAATTTAAGACTCCAAAAAAGCCAGTCCATGAATATGTGAGTTTAGGCAGTATAAATTTATTTTTAAATAAACTTTGGTGGTATGTAAGTGAGATAATCCACTCTGATGAAGTGTTAAACGTTGGTGGAGGCCATCTGCCAAAAATAAAGATGTACGTGTGTACAGACATAAAACTGTTTCCCTAGTAATTAGAGAGCTGGAGCAGCAATCTATGGAGGCGACTATTTTTTTTCCGTCACAATTTTAAAACAGGGGAATACTAACCTCCAGCATTTTCCAATACAGAACCATACACTCAGCTTGAAATAATTAATAAGAAATATTGTAAGACATATAGATAGAATAATTCCCAAAACATGGCCTAATTTTTCACATTTCAATATATCATCTGATCTGTAAGAAGCTGCCTCTGAAGGTAGGGATATCAACTGCCTATATTGAGATTGTCTCACAGAAATAAAACCTACAATTGCTGTGTGAACATTAGCAATATTAACAACCACAGGAGGGGGAACTGAATAAAAATAGTCCTTTCCATATGTAAAAGCAAGAATGAGCGGAAAGAAGGTTCTGCCCAATAGGAGAGCTCTAAAAGCCACATTATCCTTGTTGGGCTGTGGCTGTCCCTGAGATGCAGCTCTCGTACTGGGCTTCATTGTACACTCACTAAGACAATCCCAGTTCTGATGAAAGCCCCATTCATTCTTTGCTTTCCCTTAAAAGAAAAATACCAATTTGGTAAGAAACAACACTTAAGACTGTTAAGGAGAGAAGGAAACAATGACCATGCTGGTAGAGTGTATGTCAAGTAAGAACCGCTACCGGGACCTGATTGTTTTAATATTTATTGTGAGAGCATGGCCCAGCAGGCTTCCTCCCTTCCCTGTCAGATCCATCCCCTTTAGGATTCTGCTCATCAACCAGGCTACACAGAGACCTAAGGACTTTGGAACACAAAGAAAATATCCAGTTAGCCGCTCTCTCTGCCTTCTAAAACTCACCTTTCTAAACAAACATACAGAAGCTCTTAACTAATTTTGGATAGTACCTAGGGACAGCTAGATACTCAATAAATTGCATTATTAATAGTAATGTACTTCACAGGGCCAAGCTCACAGAGCCCAATAAATCTTAAACAATAACAATAATGGAAGTATATGATTAGCTAATGAGTGATTATAAATTACTTTGCAAATATAAAGTGCCACACAGGCACATAATTATAGTCCACAGGGTTAAGTGCACGCGGGAGCAAAGCATGGAGAAAGGGGGGCAAGACCTGACTGAACAGAGTATTCAGACTTAAAACCAAAGCCGAGTCTCTGCCAGTTAGAACACTCACATTCCTCCAATGGTAACAGTGGCACAGGTACGCTCCGAAAAGGCAGGCACCGTTTCTGTGGCTGGGCTGGCTGGTCTAATGTAGTCCACAGTCACATTGACCTGGAAATAAATAATCACGGGAGTTAGGTTTGGAAATCTGTAACAGCTCAATGGCAGACATGGGCATTAGCACAATCACCTCCGGTGGACTTTATGATCTAAGATTAAAAAACAACAACAAATAACAGTGGGGAAAAAAAAAGATCTATAAAAGACATATTGTATAAAGGGCAGAACCCAGGATCCACAAAAAGCTCTTGATGATCAATAGAGCAATTTAAAGACTGCTGTCAGATTCGAACAACTCAAAGATAACACATCAATGATGAGAAAACACTGGCAACGATACCCCACTCCAAAAGTCACTAGGTTACCTGCAATGAACTATTACCTGAGGACGGGGCTCAGTAATAAAGCACTTGAATACCATGCACAAGACTCTCTGTCCACTCTGCAGCATTGCAAAAGTACCTCTCCACCATATTAATGGGTAGACAAATTCCGTATTAGGAATAACACAAAGGAGTTCTCATTCTCCCATGCTGGGAATACAAAATGACATTGATACCAATTGTTGCGAGACAGGCCAGTAGTTTCTTAAACAACTAAGCATACATTCTATCCAGAAATATCTCCTTGAAGTTTAGTTGAGTTGAAGACTTGGCCACATAGAAATCTGTACAACGAAGTTAACGGCAGTTTTGTTCACAGCTGACAATAATTAGAGGCAACCATGATGACTTTCTACCGATTAACAGAAACTGGTAAATCCTGATGGTGGACTATTATTCACTACAGAAATGAGCTGTCATGTCATAAACAGACACAGCAGAATTTTGAATGCTTATTATTAAATGCAAGAGGCCCATCTGCCAAGGCCTCATACTGCAGGGTCCCAACTGTCCAACATTCTGGAAAAGGCAAAACTAGGAAGACAGCAAAAAAGATCAGTGGCAGCCAGGAAATGTGCTGGCAGAATTCAAGAGGCAAGGGAGATCTGAGGGCACTGGAACTACTCTGCCTGGTAGCACAAATATGGCACATGGCCTTATGTTTGTCAAAGCCCACAGAAAGTACAGTACCATACATGAACCCTGTGTGTGTGGAGCGATGATGACATACATGTCAGTGTTGGTTTGTCAGTGTCAGCAGGCCTCCCTCCCTCCCTCCCTCCCTCTCCCTGTCCTTTCCCTCTCCGGTTTGGGACACAGTGTGTAGGAAAGGGTGGGGACACAGAACGCCTATATATTCTGCTCATTTTTGATGTAAACCTAAAACAACTCTAAAAGAACAGTTTACTTTTAAAAACAAATTAAGAAAAACACTGATAACACAAAGAAGCCAAATGCCTGAACAAAAGGTCCAAAGAAATTCCACTTGACCAACAAGGGTGGCAGAATTCTTGAGCGACCACCAGATGTTATGGCAAAATACTTCTTAGACCATTTCTGCATCAAATACCTGTGTCTAAATATATGACTTGCCTCCTGAGAAAGACCGCATGTCATTTCAGTCTGCCCTAACTTCTCCTGGACCAAGTAAAGAGCTATCAAGAAGAACAAGATGGCAATCACAAGGGTGCTTAGATCTGATTTCACAGTGTGTAAATAGAAGTGGCACAGCTAACTAAGTCTAATAGCAACACAGTTGGAGTTAGGACGGTTGGGGGTGGGGGGGTGGGGACACAGGGAGAGGAGACCAGCAGAACCTTTAAGTTTTCAATGAACAAAGGACATGCATACAGATAGGAGCTGCAGGCATAAAATGAGAACCGTATACAATAAATAAATGTGGGCATACTGAACAATACTATTTCCTTATGAAATGGTTTAATATAAACATGTTTATGTGTCACAACCAATTATGTGGGAACCATTAGGAAACATTACAGGTCATAACGGTATGCTTGGTACGGGCCATAGCCAAGCTTTATGTATCTACACTAAAGACAAACCCTGACTCAAGCATAATGAAGCCATTTACTTCTGAGTCCAGAATGCACTTTCTAAGCACATCAATTCTCACCATCAGTCTAAAGAAAGCACACTGTACAGACACCAGGGTCAGCTATATTTCGACTCAGCACCATCCCAATCCTTCCACTTAGCCTGTTCTTAACAAATGTTTTAGAAACCAAACAAGGAAAGGCTCAGGAGATGTTTCAGTTGGTAAAGTGCTTCCCAAAAAACCATAAGGGTTTGAGTTCTATTCCTGTCATCCACCTAGAAAAACAGGCCAAAAGGACATGCATGTAAACTCAGCATCATGTGGGGTGGAGACAAAGGACCCTGGGGCTTGTGTTAGCCAGTCAAGCCCCAGGTTCAAAGAAGAACTCATTCAAAAGTAAGAACAGAGGAAGACATCTGATGATGACCTCTACCTAATTTCTAGAAACACAGACACATAACAAACATAAACACTCATATATACATTTGTCAAAAAACACATGAAAGAGGCAGATGTCTTCAAGTTTCAACTGTCAAATTATAAATGTGGAGACCACCAAATCATACTTTTAAATATGGGGAAAAAAACTCCCCCCCCCCAAAAAAAAAAACCCAAGAGCTAAGACAGGATACAAAAGAGCTGAGACTAGGTAATCTTTCCTTCAGATTACTTAAGTAAGGATGGCCTCTAAAACCAGGTATCTGCATTCAAATTTTGTAAATATGAGGAATGTATACAGATGGGAGATTAGCTCGCTTAGAGTTTTAATAGTTTCCCTACATACAGTTGACCTCAGTTAATATCAGACAAATTCAGGGCAAGGCATAGGAAGGCTGCCCACAGGGACCACATGGTGACTCAGACTCTAGGGAGAAGTCTCTAGCTAAGTTAGTTCACCTGGTAGCATCTAGAGAAGGCCTCCAGCACACCTGCAAGAGAGGCCAGGAAGTATCTGAAGCCATTCAAAAACCACATAGGAGGTCGAAATGTCAGCCAAGTATCAAAGGGCAGATAAACCATGGAATTAAAGTATCTGAAGGTCACAGAGGATCTGCAGCTCTCAAAACCCATCAAAAAAGTTTCTTTGTGCAGTGGATAACAATTAATGTAGCAACTTACAACTGACCCAATTACATATAATTATATGAAAAAATGACTGGGGTTACTTAGCTACAAATGGGAAATTTGTTTCCACTCTTTCCCCAAATCTCAGGGACCATCGTGGAAGAAGGGGCAGGGAGGACTAAAGGAAGCAGCATCTTCTGGACAGGACCCGACCACTGCACTCATGAGCTCACAGCAGCCGTGTGGTCTGCTCGAGACCTGCACAGTGGCATTGCAGCAGGGAATAGAAGGTTTCATCAGCCCTCCTCAACTGAGGAGCTATAGGCAGTTGATGGCTCCAGGGAAGGGAGAGTCCATTTTCTTTAAGGGTGTGGCTTCTGGTACACTAATCATAGTCCAGTGGATGGTCTACGCACAGAAGCATATGGACTGCAAACATGAGTTCATGAGTCTCCCAATTTAAGAGGATGAGGAGATGAAGCTGAGAAGTAGGGTGACAGAAATTTATCGAGGAGGAACTGGGAGATGAGGATGTAATTTAAATACACTGTATGAAATCTTCAAAGAATTAATAAAATAATGTTTAAAGACATGGAAACGACATAGCCCTGAATTATCAATAACCCATTCAACCAACCCATGACCCTAATTCCTACTAGCAGGAGGAAAGAAAAAAATTACCACCGCTTAAAAATAAATTAAGTGAATCTCAAAGTTAACTTGTACCTGCCAATGTCAAACTTCGTCCTCACCCACAGATCGAAGGAGGCAGCTATTAGCATAGAAATCTTACTGGGAACATTCCTTCTAGTTCAACAAGGTCTCAGGGGTTGTTGTGGTTATGGTGGAGTAATGACAACAATAGAGTGAACACCTATACTGCCGGGCAAGGTCAGCCTGAGGTGCTGGCCCCAGACTGCCTTCCAAGGGACCTCCATGGGGACACACCTGCCACACACACCCTTTAATCTTTAATAACCAAAGGATGTAACAACTACATTCATCTCTCAATTAATTATTTCCTATATCAAGAGAAAGAGAATTGCAAATGAGAAAGAGATTAAAGAGCTCTTCATGGAGGCAACATTATTAAAGAAAATCTCAGACACAAATGAGGCTCTGAGAATAGCCCTCAGCCAAGATACACACCTGCAGGCAACTATGACAAACCAGGAATTAAAGCCAATGTGTAATTAGCATTTATGTCCCTCTCCTGTGGATTCTCAGATCCGTTCCTCCACTTGGAGTTTTTCATCTCCAGATATTCATCACTGACTTGTCAATCATTCTGAAAAGCCGAAGTTTAAACAGGTTCAATTAAAAGGACTGAAAAATCTTAGAAATGTCTGTCTGAATAAATGCTGGCCTAAATTTTGGGTGTGTGGTAAGTTCGCATGAAGTGGCCTGAGTGAAAGAGAAGAATCTGATTAATATAAAGGCGTTCCTTCCTGTGTCAGCAAAGACCCCGATAATGATGACATGTGGATTGCCCATTCACTAAGGATCAGGCAGAAATAAAGACAATGGCAGGTGCTCCAGAAAACTTTGGTTGACATGTGAATCTCATCTTCACAAGGTGCCAAGAGCACCAAATTGGAGTTTCAGATTGCCATTTCACTAGAGTGGAAAAGACGGCCTGACCAAAACTGAGATATGACATCCTTTAGTTTTGTAATTTGCACCTTCCTTTTACACACCATGTCTCTTGTTCAGTGAAAGAACTGGCATGGGACTTGCACTTGAAGATATAGTAATAGTAAATAGTTGTTGCATGAATGAATGTATGTAATCAGGAAAATTTTCCAGCATAAACTTCTGGAAGGCACCTTTGAAATGAGAAGGTTGGGCATTTTAAGGACACTGCTTTATATAACAAGAACAATGATTTCAACTGTGGGTGTGGTGATAGAAGCCTGAGGAAGGAAAACATTTTAAAATTGTGATGAAACTCCAATGTTAACCAAAAAAAAAAAAAAAAAAAAAAACAACTACCATGAGAAAAAAAAGCAAGCAAAAAATACATTCTAGTATTTCTCATAAAATGTTTC